CTAGGTGCACCCACCTGACAGGCAGAGGGCAAGGGGCGATTCCAGAAGGCCACAGGCCTTAAGAAGGGAAGAGAGGTGGGTGTTTTCTTGCTCCTTTTGCACCACAATGTGGGGGAGAAAAGAAGAGAGATCAGGAACATGAAAAGAGAGGTGGGAGAGGGTTCAAGAAGAGAAGAAAACGTGAAACCATTCCAGTGGGGGGTCAGTGACTAGAGAAACACCGTGGGGTAGCCCATCATGGGGGTCTGCCAGAGGGGGTGAGCATGGGAACACTGGACCATGGAGTCTAAACTGCACGGGCAGGAAGGACCTAGGCGTGGGGACAGTGGCTAAAACAGGGACCTGAGGTGCAGAGCAGCTGCACTGGCCAGGTGAGAACATGGAAGACTGTGGAGCTGGCACCCAGGCGAGACCAGGATGTGTGCAGGGTGGGGACAGCCTGGCAAAACGGGGCAACCCCTACTCACCCATTGCCTTCTGGCAGTGTAGGACCTTGAAGCCTCTGTGCATGCAGGCAGCCAGCAGCAGGTGGGGGTGGGAAGGGTGCCACTTGAGCCTCCACACGCCACCCTGTGCAGGCGTGTCTGACAACGGCTGCCGCATGTTGCGCGTGTCCCACAGCAGGATGTGCTCATCATAGCTGGAACGGCCACCACAGCGCTCGCTCAGGGAGCCACGTCCCGAGTCCTAAGCCCCGAGGTGGCAGGGGCCCTCTCCCAGGAGATCCGCCCACCTCCCTCCAGCCCCCAAAGCCCTTCCCTGGACTCAGGCACCTTGACTCTGGTTTGAGTCTGCCCTACATGCGACACGAAGAATGAGTGAAGATGCAGGAGGGCCTGTGAGCAGGCCGAGCCTCACCTTCCTGTAGCTAGGATGTTCTCACGGTGGGGGTTGCTCTGGATGCTGCAGACTCCCATGGAGTGCCTGGGGGGGTGCCGCTCCGTGAGGCCCAGGATGGAGGGCTGCTGCCAGCGCCCGCCCCGACCCTTGGCATTACCTCGTGCTGGTGAAGAGAGGTGCGTCGTGCGGCCTCCTGGCATCCCAGCCTTTCAGGAGCCCATCGTCACCCCCTGTGTGGAGACAGGAGAGCTTGTCTATGATGAAAGCTCTGAGAACAGAACATGGCATTTTTGGGGGGAGACACCTGGAACTGTCACCACTGCGCCTGGAAGAGCTTGCAGGAGCAGAGGGGAAGGCAGAACGTTTCCAGCCCAGGTGCCTGTGGCCATTAGGCCTGACGGACCAAACTGCCTTCCTCGAGGGCTCTAGCAGTCAGAGCCTGACTGCCAGGAACCAGAGCTGCCATATCAAGAACGCTGCTATTACATCAGGAACTGCATGCAGGAAGCAGTGAACTCGAGGACTTAAGGTTCTGGAAGCTCCAGCACACCCCTACATGTCTTAAAAAGAAACACGCTTTGTAACCTTACAGTAAAAAGGACCCTTGTGCTTGTCTGAGAGGAAACCAAAGGACGGGAATAACGGGGAAGTGGGATCCTGATGCACAACCAGTCTTTGAAAGAAAGCAAGACAGGATGAACGGTGGCATCCTGAAGGAAGGGGAGAAAGCAACCAAAGATGTGGCCCACAGTGAAAGAAGAAGGAGCAAAAGGAAAAGACCAGGTGCAACCACTCCACCACC